CTTTCCCCACAGCCTTTTCCAAGTTCCTCATTGTCCTTTCCACTTTGGTTCAGTGAAAATGAATGCACAGAAAGGTAGAATGAGCATCATTTATACTGAGGGAAGGAGCCCACTTTTCACGTATGGCTGGTATTATGTGTGTTGTGTGGTTGTCGATGTGGAACCTGAGCCACAGATGCTCACGTCGTCCTCTTGTTCCCAGTCCTGGTGTTCATCTCTGTGGTACAATGTCACTTGCCTGTATGCTGTATGCTAAATGCTGGGTTTTTTAATAATTTTTTTTAGAAATAAATGTTTGCAATCACTTTAATCCCTTGTGAAATGAATCAGGGCTGTCAAACTGGCAGCCCACGGGCCTGAAGGGTTAGCAAACAGCTCACGGACTCCCAGCATAGCTGGCATTGCCTGCCCGCTCATCGCCTGGCTGCTCCTGCCATGGCAGCCAGGTTTTATGGGGTCCATTGTATTCCTTCCGTGGGTGCCAGGGGCTGCCCATGCTCCACCATGCTCGGCCAGCTTGCCTGGCTGTGAGACGCTGGCTGGGTTGCTTCTGGCCATGATCCACCCAGGGACAAGTGAGCTTCCTATGAAATACTTTAGGATCCCAGAGGTGGCTCTACCCCACTCCTTGCAAAATAAACCCACTGGCAATGGGTCTCAAATCCTTCATTCCCCAGGGTTTAAATGGGGAAATGAATAATTTCCCACCATTGGCTACAAGCTGTGAGAAAGCTCCCTCTCCTTTGCTGAGAAGGGGAGATCTTTCTAGGCAGGCTCATCTGAGGGAGAAGCGATAGGAGCTGCAAGTTTCTGAGGAGCTGTGTTTTTCTTGCTGGTGTTCAGAGCTGCATCACCTGAGCAGACAAGAGGAGAGATCCCAGCAGATTGTCCCCAATGACGGATGAACAGGGACTACTGTTTTATACCTATCCTATGCCCATATGTTTGGCTGTAATAACCATATCTTCTTACCTACAACATGTACCTTTTTTTTCCAAAAAAAAGCTGCTGGAAATTGGGGTGCACGTTCGAAATGAAGAAATAAATACATCACAGCAGTTTCTGCTGCTCAAGCTTCTGCCTTTTGGAAGCAAAACGTGAAGCCTGCATGCAGCCACAGGGCGCAGAATAACACGCAGGCTCAGCTCCCTCGCTGCTGTTGCTATTCTGTTAATTACGGCAAGGAAAGATCTCGTTTCTTCTTCCTTCCGCCTTTCAAAAGCAAGGTGCATATCTTATTCTGGGGTGTGCTGTACACAGGAAAATGTGGTGTGCTGCTCGGTGTAGGAATGTGAGGGGTTAATTCAAGATATACAGAGAAGGGGGCAATCATTTCACATAACCTCCCGTTGGGCACTAGGGCTGTGCGAGGCTTTGGACCGTGCCTCGGATCCAGAGAAGTTTTGGATGCTTTGGCATCTGAAGCAGCGTGTCTAGATTGAAGTGATGGCTTTGTTAGGCTTCCCGAAGTGGTTTGGAGCTTCCAAAGCACTTTGGAGCCGCCTCGGAGATCCGACCATAGGGTAAAATGGGGAATCAATAAAATATCTATAACTTTGTTGGTTTTTGTCTGATTTTGATTAAATTTGCTGGTAGCCCCTGATGAGGCCACAAAGCCTGCCAAGTTTCAAGAAGATCGGTGCAGGGGTTTGGGGGGAACTGCACCTCAAGCTGCTAACAGGCAAAACTCGTGACATAGATGACCCTGTGTGTGTTAAGGTGCAGCAGGGTGAAAACTGCAGGGATGGTAGCCCCTGCTGCATCCATGAAGCCTGCCAGCTGTCAAGGAGATCATTGCAGGGCTTCTGGGGCCTGCACCCCTGGCTCCTCCTGCACCAATCTCCTCCACAGCTGGCAGGCGTTGTGGCCTTACCAGGGGCCACCATCCCTGCAGTTTTCACCCTGCTGCACCTTAACACACACAGGGTCATCTATGTCACGAGTTTTGCCTGTTAGCAGCTTGAGGTGCAGTTCCCCCCAAACCCCTGCACCGATCTTCTTGAAACTTGGCAGGCTTTGTGGCCTCCCCAGGGGCTACCATCCCTGCAGTTTTCACCCCACTGTGGTGTGACACATACACGTGACATGAGTTTTGCTTTCAAGAATTTGGGGTGCAGTTCTCCCTAAACCCCTGCACCGATGCTTTTGAAACTGAGCAGGCTTCATGCTCTGAGCATAGGCTACCAACTCTGCAAAAGTCATCCAAATCAGATAAAAAAACAACAAAATTATAGATATTTCATTGATTCCCCATTATACCCTATGACGGATCTCCGAGGCTTTATTGAACACCCCTCGCCGATAACCAGCTGCATGCGAATGGAGTCGTCATCTTGCAGGCCTCCAACCACATCGCTTTGTGTCATCGTGTGTCCTTCTTTACAAAACCTCGTGTGAATTCACCTGGAGTAAATGATTTGGACTGACGTTTGGTAGCCCACTCTTCCGCTCCTTCTCTTCTCCAGTCTCTTCCCTCTGAATTTTACCCTCTGCCCCTCATTCAGGCTTGTTGCTTTTATGATACCCCCCCTGGGGTGTATGTCTTAGTGTTTTATCTAATCATATATGAAGCACACTAATTGCCTGCCCTCTGTCATGAGGCTTTGGCCAGGCCAGCTTCCTAAGTAATTCATTGCACATGGGTGTGCACACACACACACACACACACACACACACACACACTCATGCTGCCGCTGATGAAGCCAGCTTATTTGCACATGTATCATTTTTATAGCACAAAGCTCAGAAGTTGTTAATCCCCGGTGCAGGGATCCGCCAAGCTCCAAGCCCTTGAGATGTTGCTTTTTGTGTCTCTGTGTGTATGTGGACCTCCAGCTGGTGCGAGCCGATAGCGCGGCACTCAAAAGAGCATCGTGTGTGCCGTGATTAGGGCCCCATCTGAGAGATGGACCCGTGCTGATTAACTCGGATTAAGGGTCACAGTAGCCATCTGGGAACCACTGGAGAGGGATGATAGCAGGTTGCGGGGGCCGTCTCAAGCCTGAGATGCCCTATGATAAAATATATTTTGGCTTGTTTCAGTTTTATGGCAAGGACAGGCTAGGATGTTGTTTTATTAAAGGCAAATACTGGCCTTCAGTAGAAACAGAAGACCCTTTCCTATCCCATTACTTGCCATCAAATGCGAGTGCTGGAGGGGGACTGCACGGACATAACAGAATATATGATGCTCTCTTACTGCTTACGGCGCAGAAATCAGGACCCAGCAGAGCTGGGGGATTTGCAAGCACAGGGGGGATTTGCAAGCACTGGCATAGTGCCAGGCAGGGAGCACAGCGGGGAAGCAACCCCCCTACTCCCTCCTCAGCATGTCCCCGAATCCCAGAGAGGAAATCATGTAGCTGCCTTAGACCAGCCCAGAGCATAGGCTTCTGCATTGCTTTTAGACTGTCTCAGGTGGGCTGACTGATGCAGTTCTGGAGGGGAGGCTACTTCACTTTGTTTCTGATCTTCGCCCCACGTGGAAGAGGAGCATGGAGGCTGGTGTCCACCGCAGCAATGCTTTTGGCATTGCACAGAGGCAGTGTAGATAAGAGCAGTGAGAGGTGGTCTCTGCCCCCAAAGCACTTCCAGGCTCACAGGTTAAGAGGGACGGACCTGGAGTCATATAAAGGGCCTGCAACCAGCAGCTCTACCCGCTTAGGACAGATGTTCACCCAAGCTCTGGTCCTACTCTGTACCCAGGAATAGGCCCTGCAGTGCTGCTTACAGGAGCTGTAGGTGCTCACGTGCTGTTTCAGGCTCTGGGCCCAAATGACTTGCCCAAGGTCATGCCATAAATCTGTGGCAGAGCACAGACCCCAAGCCACATCTTTCCGGGGTCAGGTGAGCATCCAAACCCCTGGACCATCCTC